GTTTAGGCTGTGATAGATGCCTATGGCATTGACGTGAAAGGACCAGTCCTCTTCACAACTGGCAGCAGGGATCTTTTGAAATTCAACCAATATACTGTCTTTTACATGATATAGACAGGAATTACATGAATCAGCTAATTGATCCACTGACGCACAGTGACTGTTTTGGAATAGACATCTACATCAGATGTGTCTCCTTTGTTGCAAATTGATTAGCATAAAGTAATTAGAAAGAGTAGTAGAATTGACTTAAATTCAGGGAGAGACCAAGGAATGAGAAAATGTAATCAATAACCAGTTTTCTTCATGTCTATTGTTTACAAATGAAGATAGACTTCTAATAAAAAGTAACACATCAGTTGCTGTCCATGTATTACATATTGATTATTCAATACTGTTACTTCCTTGAGGCTAGACTTAATAACACAACACTGATTATCATCAAGGCAGAAACATGTACAGCTAGGTGATCAGATTAAGAATGTAAACATGAAAAATTTCTTTTCCTGACAATAAAAAATGTATCAAGCATGTCCATAGCCCTGTCCTTGAACTTTTATGACTGTGTCAAAAGCCCTCTTGAAATCTTCATAGGACAAGTGACATAAGGGCAGAAAGACCTCCAAGGTACAGTAGGCCATCTTTGATCAGGATCCCTGTTTACATAAAAAACAAACAAGCAAACAACTAAAACAGCAGCTTGGTGAGCCAGTTGCACCCCTGTGCAATCTTTGATAGACTTCTGGGCAAATAATGGTAACATCAGTGTCAAAAGTATTTCTTTATTTGACATGTCTTGGTTTTAGACCCACTCTTTTTTATTGCAGAGCATTTTTCTTTAAAACGGATTTGTTCTATTATAAGGAGAGATGTCTTTTATTCACATGCCAGATTCACTTACACGTCTCCTCGTAGTCCAGAAAGAAGGTAACAACCGCTGCTTGCTATTATTACAACAAACCTCACGGCAGCTGCATCAATTGTCTTGCAAATTTCACTACTGACCTTTGGGCAAGTATCAAGACTTTCTCTTGGCTGTGTCAGTTGAGCTAAGCATTTGTGAACAACTTGCTATATCATGCACTCATATGCGATACGATACGATACGATAAACCTTTATTTTAACACAATAGTAGTTAAAGCTAGTAGCTTGTGGGGTCGTGCATAAATTAAAATAACTACAAAGTTAAATAATAAAACTTTTAGATATATTACAAAATGTAAAATAGCAAATTAAAATATATGTATAATTAAAATATATGCAAAAGTTACTTAATGATAAAATGATAAAATATTCCACCTTGGTTGCATTATTTTTAGTCACCAGAGCTGCTGATACTCCACACTGACTCATCAGTTTACTGATATTATCTTGATCAAATTCTTCTTCCTTCTCATCAAATTACATCAGGTGCTCCAACATCTCTGATTTCAAGATAAGGAATGTTATCCATTATCACTATTGCACATGCAGTTTCTGGGCAACCAGTCACCAAATAAATGGCAACTGGCCTTGCCAACCCCATTATAACAAAATGAGTGTGTGTAATCACATGAGCCATTGTCTGCCCCAACATTGAAAACAACCCTCTTAACACTAACTGTTGGGAATGGAAAGGCAATTTGTGCTCATCAGTGCCTTCAAATAACTGAAGACCATTGCTACTTGTGGTAATGATGTTTGCATAACAATGACGAAAAACTCTCGCTGTGTACCCCAACATCTGCTGCATCCTCCCCAATCACATCATCTCCACCATCTGATACAAAATACACCCCAGGGGACTTTTGCAATTTTGAACCTGCAATTTTTTTTATATTCTACAAATTTCCCTTTGGAACGATTACTAGTGATTGGGTAGGTAGGCTGATCTTGTTTCACCACAATATGTTTAAAATTCTGCAAAACCCTCTCAGCAGAAGCCCTACAGTACAAAGAAAATGTTTTATTGGGCCATTCAAATTTATTATAGGATTCATGTTTTCAAGGCAATGTTATTGCCATTAAAACATAACACAAAAAGAATATATTGCCTAATTAAGTTTACATGCTCTTAAAAATTTATCTTCAATCTTCAACGGCTTTGACTAGGGTTTGCATTGTTCATCTTTTAGCCAATATTTTGTAACAAAGAGCAGATTTATTGCTCAGGATATGAAAATAAATGGAGATCCTGTCATCCTATCATTTCTGTGCAAGGAAGTGGTTGAACACCCTTGCAAATAAAAATCTGAGAAGCGATATGTAACTACTTTTGAAACCCATACCATTCCAAGCTGCAAAAGCACATATATCATCTTTGGGCTTGTGTTTTGTCAGATCTAAGATAAGGAATAATTGTGTCACTTTTGACTTACTGACAAAACTAGCACTGTTCATAAGTAATGAGAAGCAAAATTGTCAACACTACATCAAAGTTGTCACATAAATCAGTCTTCAATGTTCCAATGACATTTCCCTGACCAGTTAGGTGCAAAGTGGATAGTTGTGATGTGAGAATTTCAACTTTTCCTGGATTTTCTTTAAAATCACAATTTCTGTTGACAACTTCACTGACTTTTCCTTAACGTTTCACAATATTTTTTTTGGAGACTATATATCTGTGTCACAGGTGTCCAGCTTCTTGCTTTTAAGAAGATTTCTATATAAATAAAGTACAGACACAACAAATTCACCTTTAGTATCCAGAATTGATGAAATGCACCCATCAATTGTTTTGCAACCATCCATAGCTTCAGTAATTTGATTGTTCAACCAATTTGGAAAAATTTCCTTTAATTTCTCTACATCAATGTCTTGGCTTGATGGATGTCCAGAGGAAAAAAACAATAAAAGAGAATCTTAGCATTAGGTGTGACTGATCCATTATCACTGAGACAACAAAAGATGGCTGTAAAGGTGTTTCTAACAAAAAATGTTCGGGTACAGCTGTCTCCTCTACTGGGGTTTAGTCCTCCTCTTACTGGCCTTGTCAAGTCGGGAAATGCACTTCTGTAAAGCAGCAACAGAAACAAGCCAACATTCATTATTAAAAAAAGATTCAGAGCAGCACCCTAAGTACTGTTAAGTACCGTATAATCAAGAACATAAAACATAAAGTCATTTAAGTAAATGGGAATGTATTTTTTGAAAGTAGTTTTGTTGTTTATTTTGTAGAAACACACAATGCTTGAAATCGAAAACTCAACTAAACCAGTAAGGGAGGTTTTCTGCAAACAGAAAATACGCTTAGAACAAACAAAATTACAATATACACAAATACAATGAAAACTCACCGACTGTTCGAGCTTAGGGTTTCTATGAACAACGATAATTCACTGTAACAAATATCTCAACATGACAACACGACAATTTTCCTTCCAAAAGCACATGGGCGATTGCCCGGATTTTTACGTAAAACGTACGCCCGCAATGGGAGCCATACCGGCCCCTAAATGAAATCTACACAAACTTTCATTTACAAAAGCTATCTGCTACCATTGCAATTTAACGTGAAATAACGCGAAGCTACTCAACATAAGCAATATAAACTAACTGTCCATTTCTTAGACTAATCTCATTAGGTGACAGCGTTAATACGCCTAATTATGTCGCCGTCCATATGGATCCACACTAGTTCAAGGCATGTTGAAATGTCAAATGCCATGCCCATTGTCGGTCAATAAAAGTTTCATGGAGAAACTACATATTTCTAAATGTAAGTAAGCTTACCTGAAGTTATCAGCTGCCCAACTAGCAAATGAGCTTCCAGGATTTGGACCACGATCAGATTGTAACCTGTCTGAGTTTGATGAATATTCGTCTATATCATTAGCGAGATCCTGTAAATTATTTTTCAGATTATTTAGACCCCACTCAGACAAACTCATATTGAGAAAACAAATCTTTTGTGGATCCTTCTACAGCACAGAGCACGTAGTGGAAAAGTGTAAATTACCTGCCCCTTCAATAATGTTGGGAACATGTACTGATTGCGAGTAGTACTGAGACATCTTAATTAGTACCCAAGACCCTCTCCGGTTCTTCTGTTGTGCCTGTTCCTAATACGCATTGTATGTTCCTAATATGCTGAGTCTGTTCTTAATACGCTATGCCTATTCCTAATTAGGTGCGCCTGTTGCTATTACCCTGTGCCTGTTCCTAATGAGCCGCACCTGTTCCTTTTATGCTGTACCTGTTTCTTATAAGCTGTGCCTGTTCCTAATATGCTGTGCCTGTTCGTATTACGCTGTGCCTGTTCCTAATTCGCTGTGCCTGTTCCTAATACGCTGTACCAGTTCTTATTATGCTGTGCCTAAGTCTAATAAGCTGTGCCTCTTCCTACTAAGCCTTACCTGTTCCTATTATAGTGCCTAGCTTTTTGTTGTGCCTGTTCCTATTTGGAACTCTAAAGACAAGCTACTAGGATGCAAATGCCTGTATCAGTGGGAAAACAAGTTTATATCATCCTCTATTTTTTTCTCAGGCAGCATGGTAACAAATCTTGCAATCTTGTTGGTTCTTAGCACAGTCTGTATTTTCCTATCTCTGCCCACGGTCAACGGTAATACTTTTGTAAGTCGCCAAGTACATCCCCACCTTCATTGCCATTTTTCATAAATATAATTCGTTTTTCTAGCTGGGCAGTATGTTTAAGCCAAAACGTCGGTCACTTCCTCAAGCTAATAATAATAATAATTGCGGATGAAGGGCATATGTAAGAGGTTGAAAGGTTGTTTTGGCTGTCTTGAAAGGGATACGGACATAGATATTAAGTATTTGCTATAAGATATATTAAAGTTCACAAAACAACCAGGTGGACAACCCGACATGGTTTGATGCTACTCTGGTTTGAAGATTCAGTGAATGTAACTAAGAGGTTACAATTCATAGATTCGACATTTCAACACTCCTGTCTAGTGCCTTCATCAAGATGATCTAATTGCTGCAACATCAGGTTCTTTTATAAATTCACTGATTAGAAGGAACCAGCGACTGTTTTTACTGTTATTTCTATCATTCAGGGTGTTTTGGAAGCCATCAAGAGTATTTTGAATAGCCACAATGTTAAAGTTGATAGCAGATATCCCATGAAAGGGAGTTGTGGTATCCTAAGTACGCACTTTTCCGGATTGAGGGTCGGTCCTTCGTCACGAATACACTCAATGGTCTTCTGCAACCTGTTGTCAGGTTCTTCAACTGAACGAACATAGATAATTATGTCATCGTGGATGTTGTAGGCACCCTCACACCTGGCCAGCACTTGTTCAACGGTGTGCTGATAAAGCTCTGGGGCAGAGCTGATTCTGAGCATTAAGCGTTTATACCTGTACAACCCCTTGTGTGTAATGAATGTAGTAATAACTCTAGACTGTTGTTCCAACTCAATCTGGTGAAATCCCCATGTGAGGTCCAATTTTCTAAACACCTTGCTTCCATTCAGTTGGTAGAGTATGTCATCATCCGTTGGTATGGGATGACGTTCCCTTACGATAGCCTCATTTTTTTTCTCATGTCTATGCAGAGTCTGAGTATGAGTCCTCCTCCACGTTTAGGCGAATCAAAATTTCCCCGCTCTGAGGAATTCACATTTCCGCTCCGTGAATCACTTTCCATCGACCGTGCCTGACTTTCAGCAGCTTCCATGGATCTAGCAATATCTCTAGCCTTCTGAAGTGTGAGTTTACCACTGACAGCGAGTAGTTTCTTGCGAAGATCATGTGATCGACATTTATCAATTAACTGATCGCGGACTTTTTCTTCGTCGCTTGTTCTTCAATTCTCACTAAGCTGGAACAATCTGGTCACAAACTGGTCTGTTGTCTCGGACAAAATAGTAACTTTTTGATATGCAAATTAAGATCGAAGAGAAGGGTCTCCTCTGATCACGCTGGTATGAAAAATATTTCAGCTGAAGTTTCCATATTTTGTCTTTGAACTAACTGAATACATCTTGTAACTTGTAGCAAGATAGAACTCCGTTAGCTAAATTGTTGCAGTCGCTGCGCGCTGGAAAAAAGGAGAATTGGAGAACAACTAAACTATTTTTGAAACATGTTCTAAACCCTTTTCATAGGCAAAAAGTAAAAGAAAACTTTTCTCCGACGGGAAGTCGAGAGGACTGCTATTAGCGAGAGCGGCACTTAAAACATGTTAGGATAAAATGAACTAAAATCAACACTATGACGTATCACATTTGCAATGCATGATGGTATCATAGGTGTCTTACACTGTACTCACAAACCATTATGCGACACTTATTTCCAAGAAACATGAACATTTGTTTGAACGAGTGTTCATTAAAAAAACAAACTTTGAGATCATAATCACTTATGTGTCTAATATATATTTGTAACAGTCTTTTTGTTAACATGGTACACCAGGGTGATGTCTTTCATTTCCATCAGCTCCTAGTAAACAAGGTCTCCGTCGGTCACTCTTTTCCCAAAAGCCTTTTCTAATACGTTTTGGAAGATAGTGAAGACTTGTTTCTTGTCAGTGTCACCGGGCGTGTTAACAATGATGTTCATCATCAACACGATTTGGCATGATTCAGACCTTACATGGTGATGGCAAAAGTCACACTTTAGAAGAAAACCAGAGTTCAATTGAACTATCTTCTTTCCACAGTTACAGAAATTCTTGATCTATTCACACTTTAAAAATGGAATCAATTTGTGGTACTTTAACAGTGTTGTAGATGGTTATCGGCAGATGTTCTGCATCTTTAACTTGAAAAGCGTTCAGAGTAAGATCATCATTTATTATAGCTTTCGTTTCCTTTGTGTTGCATTTCACGCTTTCTTCGATTTTTACTCTCAAATGAGGAAAGTTATGGGCTTGAACTTTCTTACGCATGTCAGTTAGGTTTTGCTATTGTGTAAGATTGATATGTACCATGCCATCTGTTACCAACCTTTTGGCAATCCTCATTTTCTTAATGTTAGTTATCTCAACTTCGCCTATTTGGAGGAATTTGGTACACATGTTGACAAAGTCCATCTCTTTCATGATGTCTGCTGGGTTCTTTTGTGGCACCGGAATGCGTACCCCTGACCAAGGGTATTGGTGATGGAAGTCATCTTGTTGATGAAGCGTCATCGTCTTTGCGCGGTTGAATTTCGAGATCTTGATCATTGTTTTGTTTGTTTGGCATTCAAGTAGAAGGGCTCTCTTTGACGGCGAAAAGCAGACTGCACGTTGGTTTTTTTTGTCCGTCCACTTGTAGTGTAACATTTAAGTAATCTTTCGTGTCTGTTTTATTTCTCTTTTAGCTTCAAAACTGATTCAACATATGCGATGAAGGTTGAAGAATCTCTTACAGCATATGGATGTTTTGTTGGAGATCTTTTTAGGCGGAGTGGTAAGTGGTTTGTCATATCTAGCATCCAGAAACTTGGCTTCTTCTTGCAAATTTTTCGATGCTTTCGGTGTATCCTTTACTCTTTCTTTTTCTGAGGTAGATGTCTTTTTTTGAGTGCGGTTCGTCTTGGAATTCATTTTGAAAACAGTTCTTTGGACGTTATCAACTCCTCACAAAATAGATGTCCTTAAACATGTGTTGAAGATCGTCAAAGAGTGCGGCGTGTCTATCGGGTAACGTGTTTGTGATTGGTCAATTACCAGCCAATCAAAATATATTTGTTTCGATCCTTTTATACTTTATGGTCAACTTGTGTTGTTTTCCAATTCGTTTCTAATAATAAGATGAAAGATGAAGCACTCGCAGTCTAGTTGAGATTTCTCAGAATGAGAAGAAGGTAAGGGGATGAGTATTATTATGGACATTGTACACATATCGCAAGGATGCACTGAAACAGTTTCCAAATTTTGCGATATTTTCATTGATACGAAAGTGAAGTAAAATGGATAGTGATAATAATAAACTTAAGTGTTACGGTACATGTATTTATAAATAATAGCTTAAGCTTAAAATATATAAGATTTTAACCTACATACTAGTCTAAAAGCATTTGAGATATAAAAATCTACAGATATTTAAGCTTACAATTGATTAAATGTAAAATTCTTAAGTGTCTCATAAATAGCAACTCTGGTAATTTGGATTATTTACAAGTCCCAGTAAAAAGTGAACTAAGCTTATCAGTCATTCATATTGAAATTATGTGGAATTTATCACAACTTGAACAACATCATGATCAGAATAGTAGACAGCAAATACTGCACATTGAATGGGTTGACAATTTGTTGATTCTCTTAGATGAACATGGTCTAGAAGAGTTCCAGCAGAACAAATGTAGGACTTTTTACAAGTTGTGTATAGTTTAATGAAAGCATTAAGGTTTTTAGGGGTTTTATGTCATCATGATTCAAGTAGTCAATGGTGATATCGCTAAGAATGATAATAATACCATAATCATTTAAAATATCTCTGATGCCATTTTCATGTTGTGAGATATTTGAACTGTGTTTTCTATAAACAAGAATAATCCTTTGGGTTAGTTCAGTGGCATGGTTAATCAGAACAAATTGTACTGCGTTGATGGCTGGATGGTATAGATAATCTTTGATTTCAATGTGGTTTTTGGTACACAGTGCTAGACTAGAGAATCTGTCGGAAATATGATATTGCCTGTGCAGTGAAAATGTTTGTAGGTTCTAATTTCATTATCATTGGTGGAAGGTAGAAGCTACGTCTCTTTTAGTGCTATTAAATTACTGTTGAAAATCTTTGAGTCAATCTTTATATCAATACTGTGTTTTTTAAGAGATCTGATGTAAAGAAGAGTTCTGGTTAATTGTGTTGAGTCATCATTTTGGATCCTGATTTGATTGGATCATGAGTAGTATCTATGTCTTTCATATTCAGCATGTACCTTTGTGTTTGCTCTAACATATTTATGATTAGTCTCTCCAGGTATGAGAAGACCTTGGAGTGTTTTAGAATGCCTAATTGCAACATAAATCTGACCATAATTGAGAGTTCTCTGTTTGTGAAGATTGAAGCTGATAACAATTTTATTCAATGTGAGTCCTTGAACTTTGTGAACAGTGCAAGCATATGCTAAAGTAATAGGAAACTGTGTTCTTTGTATTTGAGGTGATGATGGTTTGTAGGGTGCTTCTTTTATTTTTGCCAAGATAGGTTCTATAAGTAGAGCTTTATGTTCCTTAGCATATTGCTGTTATTAATCATGTTTTGTCCTGCTCTATCATCATCAAAGTTAATGCCTATTACTGATGATCTTTGAGTGTTTGCTTTGATAGCTATCTTTATAACATTCCCAATCTGTCCACCGATCAGTCTATCTGTTGCGTCAATATTAGCTGTGAGCATTAGTCTAGCTTTCTATTTTATATTGATTTATAATCAAGTCCAGCTGTGTCACATCTGCCTTTGGCAAGTACTCTATCAATATCTTCTTTGGTCACATCGGAAGGATATTGGTTTGCAGCTTTCAACTGAAACATGGGTCTCGCAAGTTGTTATAATTTTGCATTGTTTTGTTGGTTATTGGAATTTTTTCAGCCCATATATGCAGAACATCTAATGGGTAATTATTATCTAATGGATTCATTGATCTTGATTGTATACTCTGAATGTCTTCATCAGTCTGAGATGCAGTTCTAAATCTATTCAAAAGCTCAGTAAATGGTTGGTCATTTTTCCGTCTCATTATTTCAGTCAGCTCAGTCATTTGAAAGAGATGCCAAGGGTGATACATGTTAAAAGCTTCATTCTTAAAGTCCTCAAAAAACAGGCAGTTGATATAAATCACCGACACCCAATACACTAATCCCTGCAAATAGTTGTGAATTTGAAGTACCAAATATTTCCTTTAATCGTTGATTAATGTGAAATAATGCAGTGTTTACAAGCATTGAAATTTCATCCATTATTATTAGCTTCAACTCGGACAATGATAACCTCATCTGTAGGAGATGAACTTTGTTCGTTTGTCGCACGATAGAGACACTTTTTGATATAGATCGCGAAATTTCGACGTAATACTGTTAGTCTTCATCAGGCGATGAGGTCGATTGTTTATGTGTTGCTATTTGTAGCACGTTAGTATGCTGTTATTGGTGCATTTCGAAATGTATGTGAAATCACTGACGGTTATGTCTTGCCTTTACGAGAGTATGGTAGGATGCAACCCTTGATCGATTGGATTAACAAACATTGGAAGTTTTTTGGTGCATTTGTCAGAGTTTATAGTCTCTTTACAGTTAGAGTTGTGGAGACTATGCCTTGATGTATTTGCGACACAGAGCCCAAGGGAGAGTCATGCCTAAATTTTTTTAACTGTTTTCTAAACACGAGTATGTAGCATATGATAATAGAGTAGATCAAATGTTGAAAAATTTGATAGAAGAGAGGATAGGAGAGAAGAGTGGCTTGAAGTGTCTCGAAAAGAATCGCATCAATCTTGTATACTTACTGATTCTTTGAAACAGGATGTGGGAAAACATTTTTCACCGAATCCTGGTTAGTTAGACATACCAAAGAATTGTTTGCGCATCCTCCTTCTGTTTTAGTGTATTGTTATGGAGCATAGCAAGACAAATTCTAAGGCATGAAACAAAAAGGGATACAACTTCATGAAGGAGTACCGGAATTGAAACAACAACAAAAATGGTTTCCAGCCCAAGGAGGCGTCTTGATTTTAGACAATATAATTTCTGAAGGGGAAAATGATAAAGAAGTCTTGGATCTCTTCTCCAAACATTCACATCATAGAACATCACAGTACTTTACCTATGTCAAAACATGTTTTCACCCAGAGAATTTGCTGAGAGTATTTCTAGTAATGTTCATTACATTGTAGCCTTTAAGAATCCACGCGATCAATTGGGTATGCGCAATATCTTATTGCAAGCGTATCCGCAAGAATGGCAAGAGGTCATGGATGTCTATCGAAGAGAGACTGAGAGGCCTTTTAGATACTTGAGATTGGATTTGCATCCCGCAAGTCACAATGAATATCGCAGCGTGAGCTGCTTATTAAAGGAAGAAGGATGTATGAGATGTTTCATTTTACCTTCATAACCATGTCTAGAAGCACGCCAACGTCGCCCGCTGTGGGTGTGGATTCTCCCAGCACCAGTCAAGTTTTACTGTCTTGGAGGAAATGGCACCCAACAATCTGGCTTGAATAGAACAATCACTCGGTAAGAGTGATATCTCTTTTCCGGCTGGAGTGGGATGAAACTTTACTACTTCCCCCTACGGGTGAAGGAACCTCAGCTTCTAAACAAGTGGGAGATGAGTGGATGGATAATGTAAATTTTGATTTTTTGGATGAATTTTCACCACTGCGATCCTCAACTCCGTGAAACTCACCTGCTACTGCACCTCCAACACCTGCAACTCCTAAAACTACCATTGGAATTAAAGGGGTAGAGGCAGAGGTTAGTAGAAATAGGGTAGAAGTCGAGGCAACAGATAATGTTTGGCTCACATTCAAGCAGCAGCTCAAACAGCCACCACTACTTATTAAAAAGGTACGGGAACCCGAGATTGACCCTGAAGAATGAATCAAGGAGAATTGCAAAGACAATTGGAAATCTTGATTGAATGATCAAAGAAAAACGGCCACTGGAAGATGCATTGCTGGTATCACTCCATGAAGCTTACTGCAACTGTTTTCAACGATAAGTAGTCGTAAGGACAACTTGAACATTTTGACGTGTTAGTTGACGGAAGCCAACGAGTCTGTAGAAGAATGGAAAGAAAGTAGTCATAGAGTGGAGAGGAGTCGCGATACGTGGCGTAAAAGGACATCTCATTTGTGTTAACGATGACAATCTATCAAAAACTCCGCGCTGTCAACAACCGATTCACAAAGAAACATGCGTCTTAGATTGGTTAGAATCACAAAAAGACAAAAAAATTGAACCGTAATGGCCATACTGTCGTGTAGAACCATTACTTGCCTTGCTACAAAAAGCGGCCTACAGACCTCAAAGAAACCCACCACCTATAAGAAACATTTTCGAACAGTTCAGAGGACAGCAAGTCGAAAGACGAAACTATTTATGGAACTGGAACTGGGACGAAAACATTCCATTTGCCCAAGATGAAGAATTCATTAGAGCCACGTGGGAAATGCTTCCCATGTATTTCTATTTTTCTATTG